GAAAGTCGTCGTCTACCACGCAGGTAGACAGAAAGCGCGGTCCGCCACGCAGGTAGACAGAAAGTGGCCGTCTACCACGCAGGTAGACAGAAAGTGGCCGTCTACCACGCAGGTAGACAGAAAGTGGCCGTCTACCACAGAAAGTCGTCGTCTACCACGCAGGTAGACAGAAAGTGGCCGTCTACCGCCCAGGTAGCCAAGCAGTGCCCGTCGCGGCCATGTTCTTCGGATACACATAACTTTAACAGTGTCTGTGAGCCAGAAATAAACTATGGCCAAGCACATCCACGACATGCAGCTTCTTTTTTGAAGCGTGCAGAATCTACAAACATGGAACACATTGCTAACATAAGTCTACATAAGTTCCCCCAAGTCCGAGGCGTAACTTACACTATGTTTCGCAAGGTCATATGCATAACTCCACGGAAGTCGCCATAAGTTCAACTTGCGAGTGGTCGAACTTATGAGCCTATAATAGATGATAACAAACTTGTAAATCAAATTTTAACATAACTTAACTGAAAAGTATTTCATTCTTATCAGTGGGTGCAAGCTTGGTTGTGTTGGGCCGCCGAGCACTGATACACCTTGCTTCGTGTCTAAGATGCATTCAGTGGCGTGACGGCGTCAGAGCATTGCCAAGAGCACTGTCAAGAATCTACTCACAACAGCAAGAATCGGAGATCTGGCAGACTTTATGGTCGTACGACCACTGCAAAACGCCCCCTAGCCAACTTGCATACAAGCACATTGGAATCCAAACCAAGTTGTGCCCCATTAGCTTCAGTGTAATGTCAGCATGGCCTGTCCATGTGTCTTGAAGCTCCTGTGAGTCTGAGCAAACTCCGCGATGGCCTCGTCGACATCTTTATTCTCTTTGTGGAGTTCATGGATCAACTGCACGACCAGCAGTGCCCTGGATTGCAGGAAACTAACAACAATGTCCTACAGCAGCCGCAATCAATTTGACTCAGGATGGCTGTGTTGGGTTCTGCCACGCTTCTCTTGCGAGTCCCATGATGTCTCACCATGACACTTACATGGGCATGCCTTTTGATCTTGAAAGATGGGCTTACCCTCTGCATCTGTATGGCGTTGCCCTCTACTTTGGATGCCAAGAAAAGGTAGACACCAAGGACCTTTCAGATTGCTTCGAATTGCTCGTAGGTTGGAGGCCATCGCTAGAAGTAACAAAGGGCATCGCTACTAGGAGCAAGAAGCAACTAGTAGCTCCTGGCCTTACCACTAGCAACGAGAAGCTCCTAGTAGCAAAGGGCATCGCTACCAGTAACAAAGGGCATGACTACTAGTAGCATTCTTATTACTAGGAACAAGAGGACGCTAGTAGGTTGGAGGCCATCGCTCTTAGGTTGGAATCCATAGCTCTGCATCTTGCTTCGCGTTGGGGTCCCGGACTCATTCACGGAGTTGGTCTCTCTCAGGGCAGCTGCTGCCGAGGACAAATCAACGCTGATGTGCTCTGCTTCTGCGCGCTCCTTCAGCAGCAGCAATTCTGCAGAGCGGCGCACATCCCAGTCAGTCCTAGAATGGGTCAGACTCACAACAGGAGAGGGAAAAACCACATGTATATACTTCAAATTCAAAGCATAAAAACACATCCAAGAAAGGCTCTGATACCATATCCGGCGTTGCGCGGATTCAACGCAACTTCATCAGGTAAAGGCTCCGGAAACAACACCCAATATCGACCCTTTGGTGCTTGAGAAGTGATTGACTTGACAAAGTGATGTAACTAGTAGCTACTTGCTCCTAGTAGCACGACCAGGAGCCCCTAAGTAGCGTCCTTGCTCCTAATAGCGATGCCAGGAGCCCCTAGTAGCTTCTTGTTCCTAGTCTACCGGACTTGGTGGTCTTTCCTGCTTTTGAGAGAAGTGCTTCGGTTTTTGCCACTCTCACGTGTTGAAGTTAACAGCTGCTAGTAAGAGCTGTGAGGTGTGGACGTTCCGCAACAAATACGCCCCCCACCCGAAACCTTCGCCCTGAGGGCGGGTGTTAGGAAATCTGGTCAACTTGAACAAAGGTCAACTTACACCTGGCTGTTAACAAGACAGAAACACAATAAGGATCGCAAGGCACCTAATTAACGGCTGTGTTGCTGGGCCTTCGTCCGCCGTTCAACGCCATGATTTCTTTGTCAAACCGATTTTTTGCTGACGTCGGAACAAAACACAATGTTCGTTCTGTTTGAGCATCTGTTGATAAAGCGCGCACCAGATTTTGGTCAAATAGTTTGCCATCGATCTCTTGAGAGGCGTGGATTTGAAGGCTAGCCGCTAGACATCTGTTCTGGATTGGATTCGAGCGAGTTGCACATAGAACTAGATGGTTGCTCCCATCTTTGAGTGGGCAGTTTCTACACTCACCTTGATTTCTGGAGGGCCTCGGTCAGAGGCTTTTGCCGGTAGAAGGTTGAACAATGTCAGGGCAGGGAAAGGACGGCAACCGCCATGTGAACACGTCACCGCACTGGAAACCCAAGACTGAAGTGACTGAAGTGAAAATCAGGTCATGGACTGACCATATTCCGACATCCATGACAATCTGTGAGGAGTTTAAGGACACTGTTATGAAAGAAAAGAGCATGCTCCTGCTGAAGAAGGGACCATGATGAACATTAGTTAGGTGGGGATGCACCTGCACATGTGCTTGCACAGAAGCCCCTCTGTTCACACTCCCCAACCCACCCACCTTTGAAACAGTGTTCCTATGAACACTGGGACTACCCAGTTTCTACCCAGGTAGATAATGATAGGGTGGGTGCTGGTGCCACACTGAGCTTGCCTATCATCATAGAGCAGTGGGCTGCAAGACAATTCAGCTGAGTCGCGCAGACAAGGCAGAGAAAGCTGAAGCTGAAGTGAGCCTCCGATGCGCTGGCGACTTGTGAAATGCTTTCTGGAAAGTAGCACGACTGTTGTTGATGGTTTGTCTGGGTAGATTAAATCCTTGCCTGGCTTCTGACTCAACACAATCTGCCTGACAAAGTCATGAGCTGTTGGAAGGTGGGTGAAAACGTCAAAGGTTGAATATGGACTATGAACGCAGTGCAACACTGGTCTTTGACAAATCAAGGTTTTTGGTGCAACTTTTTGCTTAACGATCATGTGAGACAATGTTTTCTTGGTCGGCCTTCGCATGTTGGAGCAATTTGTCTGATTGATGACCAACAGCACTGACAAAGTTCCATTCAGTTGCTTCCAGGGATGCACGCGCCTTCAACGCACAGCGATTTGAAAGGGATGAGCGATGGCCTCCAACCTAATAGCAATGGCCTCCAACCTAAGAGCGATGGCCCTAGTAGCGTCTTTGCTCCTAGTAGTAAGGCCAGGAGCACCTAGTAGCTTCTTGTTACAAAAAGCGATGGCCTCCAACCTGGTTGAAAGGTGGACTCTTCGCACCTCTTGTTCACTGACCGTCAGCTGAAGAACTTGCAGTTCTCGAGCCACTTGCCTACAAAAGAAGGGACACACGAAATGACAATCTGTAGTCACTTTTCAGGCAACTTGTCGAAGAGGGGTCACACCTTCTTTCCAAAATGGGCGAAGGGCTTCGTTTGTCGTGTTCTTTCCCAACACGCAACGCCTTGCATCTACCGCCACACGAACAGCATCTGATTGGTTTGAAGATCACACGAACTGAACGTTCTATCAAAGGAATAGAACTTGAATTTAACATTTCATCATACTGTACGTTCTATATAATGCTAGCCCGGGCAGGTGTGGACCTGGTGGCTTTCACAAGCATGTCTTGCCACATGCATGTCCATGCATATTTTAGTCGCTGTCCCAGGTGCAGGTTTTCGTGCCGGTTTGCACTTGCACATGCCCATGCATGCCTTTGCTGGGGCATGTCAGTAAGCATACCTACTTGCACGTGCGCGTATAGGTATCTTATGCGACTGTCTCACAGTCACATTAAGCACCCCCTTTGCCCCGTACGTGTGTGTGTGTGTGTGTGTGTGTGTGTTGCCCTGTGTACTTTTGTACGCGCGTGTCGGCCCGTACGTGGCGGGCGGGCTTTCAAACAACGTCCTTACTTCTCAGAAACTAAGCGTCCTTGCTCCTAGTGGCGATGCCAGGAGCCCCTAGTAGCTTCTTGTTCCTAGTAGTAAGGCCAGGAGCTACTAGTAGCGTCCTTACTTCTCAGAAACTAAGCGATCGGAACTTTCGGAACTGGGACCTTTGGCGCCGGAGACCGGAGGAAAAGGAGCTCCGCGAGATCTACGGAGCCGAATTATGACATTTTTCAAAGGAGACACTATGAACGCAACCAGACTGACGACGAAGGCAGCCGAGTTGGTCATACTTTTGAGATGACCAGTTCCCGGTCTGTAGCTGGACAGGATTCATCAATCGCATCCTACTATGTCAAACGCACGCGGGTTGAATCCAATGGGTATGAACGCTTTTTGGTATGAGGGTCACTATTCAGAAGGAAGTCAATTAGGTTGGACCATTGGAGGCCATCCCCAATCGGTTGGAGGCCATTGCTAGTAGGTTGGAGGCCATCGCATTATGATATGAAGTAGTATCTGATAGTCCTGACCCTCCATACGTCTGCCAAAGTTGTTCCTAATGGCTTCTTGTTACTAGCAGTATGGCCAGGAGCCCCTAGTAGCGTCCTTGTTCCTAGTAGCGATGCCCTTTGCTCCTAGTAGCGTTCTTGCTCCTAGTAGGCATACCTCAAATAGCTTTTTGATGCTTTTTGGATACGAAAACTCACAAGACATATTTCGCTGTCGCCGGGCCTCATATAACCGTCAGCCAGGAGATTGCAAAAAACAACAATGAATAGGCGTAGGGACGGTGCCAAGATGAGAACATGTTGCGACCAGAGGCCAGTTCCAGAGTCAGAGGGTCTGGCCTCCAACCTAATAGCGATGGCCTCTAACCTAGGAGGAATTGAATGGCCTCCAAAAAGTCGCAATCAAAGTGTGTCTCCTTTCTTAGTGCCCGAACGCCTAGGGGGGCCGCAGAAGTTAAAAAAGGGTTACATCTGCAAAGCCACATCTGAGCTACGCGCGGCCGCTACAGCCCAGCACACTAATAATCAATGAAGACACAGCATCAGCTACATCGCACAGAAACCTCAAGAACCCTTGAAGATCGTCGAACAAAACATACAAACAAATCGTAAATTTGTAGTAGCACCTGGGAGCTGCAAGCAAAGCCCTTGTAGCTTGCTGTGCATTCCAACGGCTCAAATCGAGCTGACTTGCTGCTCGCGCTTGACTGGGAGGCAGAACCGGCCTGAGAAGAGCTCCCAGAAAATGCAAACAAAGAATCTATACACAAACCTAAGAGCGATGGCCTCCAACCTAATAGGAATGGAATGCAAACACACGGTCTACACAAACTACACACAAAGCAAGCTGGTGCGCCAGAGGCTCTGGCCCAGTATGAGCTTCCTCGTGGCGAATTGCATCTTGGAGATCCTCAATGGCAGCAGTCCTTGCAAGATGCTTTTGACCCTTTTCGGATCACCCAGTGAGACCACTTGTTCCTAATTGCAAACATTGCTCCGTTCGTAGTACGGCCACCTGGCCCCTAGTAGCGTCCGATCGCTCCTAGTAGCGATGCCAGGAGCCCCTACAAAACTTTGGATTCTTCAGCAACCTTCAAAGACGTTTGGCCGCAAGGCATCTGCTTCGTAGTTTCTGTAGGCATGCTTTGCAAAGACACACACGCACGTGCACACTCTCACGGGCCTGTCCACCACAGGATACCAGCGCAATAGCCACGATCGGAAGAACTCCCCGTTCCTTGACACTTTGAATCGTGGCACGACCGTTCCTTGTCACTTAGACCGTTCCTTTCGTTCTATGTCATGTTCACTTGTTACTACTAGTAAGGCACTTGTTACTAGAAGCGATGCACTTGTTCCTACTAGCTTCTTGTTACTACTAGTGGGTGGTACAGCTGAGGCACCTTGTGTTCATTACTGTTCTAACATGAGCACAATGGAGGTGATATCTGCGCCGAAGCAAACTACTTAGAGGCATGTTAATTATGAAGGACTGACAGGGCGTATGGGCGTATTGTATCTTGCCTTCAATGCTGCGTTAGAAATCATGTCTTGGAGCAACAACGCAAACAAAGTAGTATTCATTACCTTGCTAGACCTTCCCCCAGCATGGCAAGTGAGAAGTGTCTTGCCAAGTGTTGTCTTTCCCACAAATCGCTTTAAGCTCTCTTCGAAGAAACCTAATTCAACTTCTTCAAGCTGTCCAACCAGCTCTCATGTTTAGAGTTTGCCTCCAAAGCTTCTGATCATAGAGCTTTGCAACATCATGAAGCGTCAGCAAGCGATTCCGGGGAGATTCGTCTCCTTTCGCCGAAAACTCCGTTTTGCTGAATCAACACGACCGGATATGAAAGTGTCAAACGACAAAGTAAATCGACTTGCGCCTCGATCCAAGGAATCCAAAATCATCCACGTGTTGTTTGGCCAACGCACAATGGAATAGTAATGCATTGCTCCTTGATGAGGCCCAAAGAGTGCAAACACATGGTTGGAGGCCATTGGAGGCCATTACTACCAGGAACAAGGACGCTACTAGGGTGGAGGCCATCGCTCTTAGGTTGGAGGCCATCGCTGCTGACAAGAACACATCGTTGAGTGTTGTGGCTCGGTGCAAGCCAAATCTCTTCCGGGTATTCTTTCATAGACCAGGAAACCACGGAACCACCAGCGCTGCTGTCGTTGGACTTTTTCTTGCTTCGGGCTTTCTTCTTCCTTCTCCTCATTACTACTAGGTCAAGGGCATTCCTACTAGGGCATCGCTACTAGGAACCAGGGCATCACTTCAACTCGCTTGCCTTTTGGTGCTCCTTGTCGTGCGCTCGGCTTTCTTGACTTACTTCCTTCACTTGTGTTGCCGCGTCTGCAAAAGCAGAGACCTCTGAGTCTTGCCAAGTGGGTTTCGGTTCCACATCAATGACCTTGCGACAGTCAACAGACCGCACCCATCCACTTGAAGATGCAAACTTCCTCCGCTCATGTGAGTGTCAAGCTTCAACTCTGAGTTTCATTCAACTCACAACGCTAATCGGTTTCCCTCGCGCCTCAAACCCTTTGGATCTGGCCGCCAGTTTGATTGCTTCAACATCAAACATTCCAGTGCGCTGCCTGCCAAGGTGCCAACGAGTGTCTAGCCGGTGCCGATTGTTCCTAGTAGCGTCCTCTTGCTCCTAGTAGTACGGCCAGGAGCGTCTTTGCTCCTAGTAGCGATGCCAGGAGCCCCTAGTAGCGTCCTTGCTCCTAGTTGGCATGAGGTTCTTTTCGTTTGCCGAGTTGCTCTTCTGGCCAACTGAGGCCAGAATCAGCCCGCAGAAGAGACAGCTGCCTAGGTGGCACGAAACCGCAGCTCGCCTTCTCCTCAAAACAGAGCAGTTGTGTAGTGCTGTCGGCCAGCTCGCGACATGCCAAAAACGCGATCAAGCCGGACCAAAAAACAGTGAACAAACACGCATTCCAAAACACAGGCAAATGGATCTGCGTGCTTTTACTTTTGAGGTATGTGACCCTTCACGCTTGCAGGAAAGTATGCGATGGTCTCCAACCTAATGGCGATGGCCTCCAACCCAGTAGCGATGGCCTCCACCCTAGGAGCCCTTTCAAGCTACAGCCAACTTGTGCTGTGACGTTAACATGGGATGCAGCCTGCCCAACCAACACACGTTCCAACCCATGGTTTGCAGTGCCCAAAAGGTACCCGACGAACTCAGCAGGAAACAGCCGAAATAACACTCACTTTTCTGACATTGTTCTTTAATCAAGCACCGGACAAAAGACTATGATGATGGTTGGTGTGCCCACGATGACCTTACATCGTGAAAAACCTGGGATCACGACTTGCAATTTTTGCTGAAGAGTTTACCATGGCTTGCTATGATCTTGTTCTCACTGTCCGGGAGAAGACCCGCTCGAAGCCCTGTGGTTCAAACTACCATCTCGTGAGGAAGACGTTGATTCTGTAAGAAAACGCATTGCCCAAGAACCACGTAAATCTTGGAGGCCCTCGCTCTTAGGTTGGAGGCCATTGCTATTAGATTCCTTTTGCTATTAGTTTGCCCTTGGCAGGAAATCCCACCTTCGCCCTTGAAGCGTTTGAGCGCAGGAAGTGATGAACGGTGGAGGCGTCTAGCGCGTGCAAGTGTCACCATGACGCTGACCCATGTGGCCATGTGGCCCCTCCAAACCGCCCAAAAGGCAAGGACGCTACTAGTAGCAAGGTGCATCGCTACTAGTAGCTCCCAGCCTAGCATTACTACTAGGAACAAGAAGCTAGTTCCACACCCAGCATACGTTCCTCGCTACTAGGGTGGCATGCATCGCTACTAGTAACGAGAAGCTACTAGTAGCAAGCATAATACACTTTTCGGTTCCGGGAAAAGCTTCTTGAGCCCCTAGTCGCGTCCTTGCTCCTAGTAGTAAGGCCAGGAGCCCCTAAGTAGCTTCTTGTTACTAGTAGCGATGCACTTGTTACTACTAGTAAGGCACTTGTTACTAGTAGCACGGCCAGGAGCCCCGTTCGTCGTCCTCTTGTTCCGAGTTGCTCCACGAACCCTCCGACCCGCCCTCCGTGTGGCCATGGAAACTGCGCTCCTCGTCTCGGGATTCGACTTCAGCGGCTCGCAGTGTGGCCATGGAAATGGGCCCCACCAAACCAGCAGTTGAAGCCCAGGACTCCTTGCGCGGCCCACTACTTAAGAGGTCTGAAGAGCGCCTCCCACCTTAAAAGCGATGGACTCCAACCTAAGAGTACAAACTGAACACACATAACTTTGAATGCTAAATATCGAGGAAGCGGCTCAAGCCCTATAGCAAAAATGTATAAAAATGTTCAGCGCAACGGCTCTCCTTCTCATCATGTTGCTCATCCTAAACAGCAAGTCTACATGGACGCTCGCAAAAAATGCGGGTCACTGGGTCTTGACAGAAACTGCATAACTGCAACTGAAACCAGCTGACGGTTCGAGAGCAGAAAAAAAACAATAGTTGTCCATGTATGGCTCATAATCTGGTGGCGTCCGTCCTTGTGTATTGCTTGCCGTACTTCCTCTGATTTTGCAGCTGCTTCTTCTGGGCTTCGTTTTGGCTGCAAGAGGTTGTTCAGGCCTCGCATTTGCGTATAGTGATCCGAAAGCAGATCTGGGGCAACGCTTAAGAACTGGGGGAAGCTTGAGAAGGAGCATTGGCCAGTGCCCAGTTATTGTTTTGGATCCAAGACACTGTGGATGGCACACGTATCACTACCAAAAGGCTGGCGCTCAAACGCGGCCTTGGCTTGCGTGAGATCATGTGCAAATTGCTTGTCGAAAAATCTGCATCAACACTGCAAAGGTGGATCTGCGACGCAAACAAAACCACGCCAGGCCGAATATAGTTTGCTACTAGCTTGGAGTCCATCGCTAGTAGGTTGGAGGCCATCGCAATTAGAAACTAACATGTGCCACATTGCGTTTTCTAAAGAACAACACCACCGGACAAGCATTGTATGGGTTCATACACGCTGCGTGAGGATGACACTTCCTGAGTCTGTTGCCCCCAATTCGCAGAGCTTCCGCTCAGAAAGCCTCTCCCCCGGCCTAGGCTGTGCCTTGCGCAACTCCTCCTCCTGAAGGGCAACACATGAAGAATATGCGCTAAAAAAACACATCAAAGTGCACGGACTTAAGTACAAAGCCTAGAGGCTCCAGGTATTTCGGCACCAAAAAAAGAGCACATCTTTTTGCTTCGGCACCAACTGCCTCTTTTCAAAAGAACATTTACAAAGTGCAAGCGACCACACATGTCTTTGATGCTTCCAAACGCCCAAACTCAGAACATGGATCCTCCAAAGTCTTCGAGAGCACCTCTGCTGCGAGAACATCGCTGGAGAATGGCTCCTGGACCAAAATGCTTGCTATGCTTTGGCGTAGCTTTGCATTCGGCACCCTCTGTGATCAAATTATATAGCTCTTCTGGACAAGGAAACGTTTTCCCACGAAAGCGGAACGCATACTTTCTGCATGCATTGGTGAGCGCTTCTGGCATTAACGCTCTAGAGCACCTTTAGCGTTCTGCTGCCGTTGCTGCGTCATCTGCTGCTGCTGCGACCTCTGCTGCCGTTGCTACGTCGTCTGCTGATGCCGCTGCCGCCACTGACAGAAATATGGCCCCTGCCGCGCAATTTGCACATCGAGGTCGATGAAGTGCTGAGCCCGCGCCACGAAATCTGAAGTGCTCGAGACATCTCCCGAATTCCCAGCGACTACATGTCCAAGAAGTGTTGCCGCTGCCACGAACTCTGAACTTGAAAGTACATAATTTCTGCGTGCGTCGAGGTTCACAAACTGCTTCGCTTGCGACGAAGCTGCAACTCTAAAATAGTAAGAGCAACAACGGCAATTTTGAGCCGAGGCTTGTTTTTGTGCAGATTTTAATTTGGCTTTGCTTGGTTTTGCCGTTTTGCCTTGCTTCTCTAAAGTTTGCTGCTCCTCCACTTGCACGGCTTCCCTTCTGCCTGCAATTCACGCAGAAATCCTTGCTGTGCTTTTTGCTCGGTCAATGGTCATACTCTCAGGTTTACACCACGAGTAGCTAGAAAGCTATAGTAGCGATGACCTCCAACCCAATAGCGATGGCCTCCACCTCGTAGCTTCTAGTTACTAGAAAGCTTCTTCTGATCCAATTCATCTTTCCTATTTCATATACAATTTCTTTGTCCTATATGCATGATTTCATCCTTGCCTTGCACTGTTTCTGCTTGTGCCTTGGCGGAATGATGGCGGAATACAATGGAACTTCATCTGATGTAGAGTTGCAAAAACGGGAAGGAATAGTTCAGTGCTCTTGAAACAAGTACTCTTCCACATCTTCTGGCATGCTGCCACCCGCATAAACTCTGTTCGTGTCTTTTTCTCGTTCACCGCCTTTTGTCACGGCCGAATGATTCTCACCAGCTCCACCTCACAATAAGCTACTAGGAACAAGTGCATCGATTCTAGTAACAAGTGCCTTACTAGTAGTAACACTGTTTGCTATTAGAAACAATATATAGAATTCAATTTAATTATAATAGCTTTTTGTTACTACTAGTAAGGCACTTGTTACTACTAGTATGGCACTTGTTACTAGTAGTAACAAGAAGCTATTAGAAACATTCTCACCAGCTCCACCTCGTAATAGAGAGTCGATCCTGGAGGTATTTGCTTGACGTCGGAATTTTCAGCTCCTGCACCAAGAGTGGAGCACATGGTATCATTTTAAAGGCAACCTACTAGCGCGATGGCCTCCACAAAGCACAGGTTTGTGTAAATACATGTTTCTTCCAAACCACCGTTTTTCAGTGTCGAGTTCCTTCCAAAGGCATTGTCCCTTCACCGAAGCTCATGCTCGGTGGTTGCACGAAGCGCCCCTGCGACTGACTGCCAGAGCAGCGATGAAAAAGAACGTTTCGGTCACAAAGGTTGAGATGGTCATGTTTGGTCACTTTCACGCGATGTGTTTGCTGCCTTTTGGCCATATGTTGCAATTACGGTCTTCCGGTCTTCTGATGATGTGAATACATGTGGATATTGCCTATTATCACTCGTGACTCTATTGGAAGAGATCAAATACCTCCCTGGTTTGGCATCCCACTGCGAGTTAAACGTTTTTCTGGTCCGACATTGATTTCGCAAATTGCTCTCCTTGCCTCTTGGAATCAACGGCTTGTGTTTTTTCCACATTTAAGAACTATGAATGAGTTTCTGAGCCGACCCCAGTTTGGGTTGACTTTTTAAAACTCTGTGTATGCTCCCACAACGATGATGCCAGCTTGCTTGTGGCCCTTTCAAACCAAAAGCGGACCTGCGCCGGATTCGCCCTTCCATCCACCTTCGTCAACGAGATTTGCTGTCTGGTTTGAGCTGCCCAGAAGTGTGGGGATGTGGCGCATGGTGATCTGAAATGTGAAGTGTGCTGAGGTGAAGTTTAGCCATGGAGTGGTGATTTGAGAAGTGTAAAGTAGTAGCAACGTCTAATGTGATCATATGTCTTTAGGCGAAGGTGAAGGTGAGGGAGATGTGGCAGGTACTGCAGTGATTTGTATCTTTCTCCTCGCTCTGTCGAGTCTTCTGCAACTTTCCTCAAAACCTCTGCTGGTTGGTGGAACTTCTGTTTTTTCTACATCTGCCTCCCTGTCACCCCCTTTCTGTACTTGATTCGAACACCGTCTCCAAACCTCTACTTTTTACTGTTCTTTCTCTTGATCGTGGCTTTTCAAAACTTAGGTTGGAGGCCATCGCTAGTAGGTTGGAGGTCATCGCTCTTAGGTTGGAGGACATGCTGGCTTTCCACGCTTTGTGCTAATGAGCCTTGACCTTCATTCATCCTTTCACAGATTTCCAATAACTTGACCAATAACAAACAAAAGGGCAAAAGTCCAAGATACCTTTGCGCCTTTGGGTACGTTTTTGCAACTTGAAGGCGGAGTATTCAAAAGCACCGCAGGGCTCATGGCTCCCAACTACCTTGCGCCCGCACTTCTTAAAGAAGGACAACATGTGTACTTGCAGGAGCAAGGACGCTACTAGGAGCAAGAGCACACCTTCACGAAGAACGCCACTGCTTTTTTATCAGTGTGCAGCATTCATTCACGCCCAGTTTCCCACAACAGAAACGCCCCTCGTCTCTTCAAGTTACTTTGTGCCGTTGGCCGCCTCTCTCAAAGTCGCTACTACTTCCGCTGCGCAATTGCCTTGCAAACTTTGACTTCCTACCCTTCTTTGATTCCTCAATGAAGCCGTGCCCTTGGCGCCCCAACCCTGACACGAAGCCATGGCAATGCACTTCAAGAATATGCCTGTGCTGCATCCGACACAGCCTCAACCTAAGCGCGCTTGACCAACCCAATAGCGATGGTATCCACCTAGTAGCTTCTTGCTCATACCTTCCATCTATTACCCTGGACTGCTACACCTCGCAAAATGCGCAACACGCTTCTGCCGCATTCGCCCAAGTGTGTGAAAAGAGCCGAGCGCCTGGGATTTGCGCGCCACGCGGAACTCACCCCAAAACCGCTGCCCTTCTCACTTACAGCTGTAAATCAGAACCCTCGTGCCACCAAACCCTGCTCATTCATCAATCTCTGAAACCGGTTGCAACTTGGGACTTTGTCACCCAAATGGTGATCGAACATGGTTATGGACATCATCTCCATTAATCTCCTGTTGGGCAAAACAGCAGCTGAATCTTGTACAGAAATGCGCAGCATCCGAACGCGCCTGTTCCCCGACTTTCATGCGATGCACGGCCTCAAAACTACCAGAAAACACAATAACCATTGTGCCAACAACGCGCCTCCCACATGGCGGGAGCAAAGCTGTCATCTAGATCTGCGGTGATTTCCACGTAGTCCTCGCTCGCGCAACTGCTCATTTCTTGCGAAGCTGTCCAATGTCTCCGTATGTTCGGGAAAACATTGCACCACTCCACAGGAAGATGGACTTCAGCAACCCAAGGAGAATTGGGCGTATCACTGTATCACTGAGCTTTTTGCAACATGGGGGGCACGCCCTCTCGCTTGGAGGCTGCGCCGCTGTGCTTGTGTGGGCTTGGTGGGTGATACGTTGCCACTCTACTTGGGTTTGAGGCAACAGAATGGATCCTGATTGGTCCGTGATGGAGCGCTGAATAGGATCCCGGTCCATGAAATTTCCTAGTGCAAGGTGGAGACTGATTTCAAGTCATAAGTAGCGATGGCCTCCATTGGCCTCCAACCTACTAGCAATGGCCTCCAACCTACTAGCGATGGCCTCCATAGGAATGGCCTTGACCCCAATAGCGATGGCCTCCAACCTATGTTTCGTTTCCATTTGCCTTTGGTGCAACATAATTAGGGTGCCAAAAGAATTAAATGTCCTTTGCGCGACTTGCTGTTTGTCTATTTTGCTGGGAGGAAACTAGAAAGGTTTGGTCCAGGGAGAGTTGACGTTGTCTCATTGAGACCATTGTATGAAACAGGCGGAGAAAAGAACTCAATTTTGGAATCATTACCGTGTTTTACTTTTTGAATGTCTATTTGCACATCTTGGTATACAATTCAAGGATTAACCTAGAAAGCTTTGGACCAGGCCGAGTAAACACTGTCTCATTAAGGCAATGTTTTGAGGAAGAATTATCTTGAATTCTTCAACAGTGTGCCTTTTTGAATGTCTGTTTGCACAAATTGCTGCTTGGGGTACTCCTTTGAGAGATTAGGAAGATAGAAAGGATAGGATCAGGGCGGAAATAACTCTGGAGTTAATTCTTCCGCACAAAGCCAGAAAACTGCAACTGGAGCATTGAGGTAGAACTGACTGTGGAGTTATATCTTGGCAGAACAACTGCAATGAAACAGAATTGAAGCTAAAGGGAATTCATTCATGAACCAAGACACATATAAATAATAAGAGCTATTTTCTGGAACTACCATACCAGCAAACCCAAATGAAAAGAATGTAAATCAAGAGTTATACAATTCGGTCAACCGCAACATACTTGCGGTGTTGATGACACAAGGACGATTCAACTTTCGGATTTGCGACGCATTCGGCGTTTTCCAGGCATTCTGAAAAATTACAGTATGTCTTCGAAGCTACTAGTAACAAGGTTGGCCACTGGGGGCTCCTGGCATCGCTACTAGGAGCAAGGATGCTACTAGCTCCTGGCCGTACTACTAGGAACAAGAGGACGCTACCAGTAACAAGGCCCTGCGTCCTTCTGACCATTGCGGCGGAGGGTGGAGGAGTCAAACACCGGACCATCGAAATTGCCAACGTGTCCAGTGAACCTCGCAACTCGGGGCTGGAATGAATTACTGTTTCATGTTGATCAATCTAATTTCATTGTTGTTTTTTTTGTGCAGTTGCTCTTAGTGAGGCTTCAGCTTCAGCCATATCTTGGCATATTTCTTCACCTTCGTGTGCAAGAGGTACAACTGATGCTTCTTTTAGCAGTGGCTCTTTGCTTGCATGGCCACAGCGCAAAGCATAAGCGCCGTGCTGGACCATCCCGGGGCTCTGTGCCGGAGGTGCCCGGCAGCAATGTTTCATAGATGAAGCTGTCGAGCACCGCCTGGCTCACCCGTCTGACCACTTTGAAGCAACACAACACGTCGGGACATTTTAATCGCAACGATTTTGATGAAGGTTGGGAATGGTTTGCGCGTGGTGCTATTGCACACACATGTGCTTTGCGCCCGCTGACAACACAGGTTCAGATCTAGCCGCAGTGGGGCCAGTGTGCATGTGTGCAAGACACCTTTAGTCTGAGGAAGTTCCTCCCCCCCGTTTCTACGATTGACCTTTGTTGTTCCAGGGATAGCGGTTCTAGGCTTTGGTTGATGTTTCTCCGAGTGGGGACATTGAATGTGTAGCAAGAAGCTACTAGTAACAAGTGCATCGCTAGTAGTAACAAGTGCCTTACTAATAGTAACAAGGACGCTACTAGTGCAACCGGCAATCACAAGCAATGGGAATTCTTCCGGGTACTTGATGTCGACATGAGAATCTGCATGTTTCGTTCGGAGCATGTGTGTCTACAAACATGATCTAGCGTACCTTGGGTACGGCTGGGTGTACATACAGTTCTGAACAGTTCTTTTGCCAGTCTGGGCGCCTTGTCCACGCCATTTGCTGCAGAAGGCCAGGCTGCCACAAGCAGCGGCAACCTCGACCCATTCATCAAGTCATGAATCCAAGCGACCCTTTGAATTTGGGTAGGCCATTGCTAGTAGGTTGGAGGCCATCGCTACTAGGGTGGCCGCTGGTTGACTCTAGGACTCTAGGAGAGGTAGATGACTGCAAGTAAGCAGATCGGAAGCCAGTAGCAAGGAGCCCACTAGACGCAAGGATGCAGAAGGGCTCCAGTTCTTCAACTTGTTGAGGGCTAAGCTTCCTTGAAGAACCCTTCCTTGAAGAATCCTTCTAGAACCCTTCTTGATTTCTAGGGAAATTGATCTACTGCCCTTTTGGTTTCGGCTTGAACCAGCCAAAGAACGTCAGCAGGAAAGGTGTAAATGGTCTGGGTTGCTCCATTTGCGATTCATTGACAGCGCGCTCAAGAACCCGAACACAATCTAGACAAACAAAGAACAACAAAAACATGATAAAAAGAAGGTAAGGGCATCTTTGATCAGGCCCCTTTAAAGGGGGCATTCTTAAGAGGCTCTTACCTTCATTTCTTTTTTTCGACCCTTTGATTCTAATAAGCTCCTTCTGCTCTTCCTCATGTCTTCAACTCCAAGTCAATGACAGCCCTCGGCGACGAACTTCGCCGCATAACCAGCACGTATCAAAAGTGGCCTGGAGCTCACTTGACCACCCTCCTGAGGCCCTTTCTACTAGCGATGGCCTCCCCTCTAATAGCGATGGCCTCCGCCCTGATAGCAATGGCCTCCAACCTACTAGCGATAGCGTCAAACCAACAACCTTTTTTCATACTTAGTATATATGAATTATGCTATATCATTTCTTTCGCTTCTTTGGAGACAATAGCCACAATCCAAGGCTGTTAACTGCAGTCACGATGCGATAAGAAGGCACAGCAAAAGGCTGAGCCTGCGACTCGGCACGCACAGCACATGACATCAAGCAACCCATAGCAGCCCAGAACACATGAAATCAAACAGAAATGGAAACAAAACACGCAAGCAATGCAACCCAGAACATTTGCTCATGAGGTATTGAGCCTGGCCAAAACTGCACGGCTGCCCATGAAGGGGTGGGAGGCTACAAGGAATGGAAGGAATGTATCTGTTTATTTGTTTCTAGTAGCGATGGCCTCCAACCTAATAGCGATGGCCTCCAGCCTCCGGAGCGATGGGCTCCAGCCTCATAGGGTTGGCCTCCAACCTACTGGCGATGGCCTTTTCACTTAGAAGCGAAGGCAACAATCTTTGTTTTGCCTGACCTATCATGCAGATGGACCTCTGTGAAAATGAGCTAAATACTTCATGTAGACTGGCTAAGCCAAAAACTCTTGCAAGATCTTGCATGTATCCATGTGTCACAGTGATGAGACGCTTGGATAATCACTTTAGAGTAGGCCAGGATGATCGAGGCTCTCACCAGGCACTCCAAGTACTCTGAAACCACAGCAGTCGCCACTTGCACTTCTTCTCCTTCTCCAGGCCTCCCAAACTCTATCAACATCTCCAGATTTTCCGATACATCTCGTGGACGAAAGCTTTGGAATTTGCATCTAGTAGCCATGGCCTCCAACCTAGTAGCTACTTGCTCCTAGTAGTACGGCCAGGAGCCCCTAGTAGGTTGCGAATTTATTTCTGTTTTTTTTTCCGTTTTTTTTTGTTTTTTTTGTTTTTCGGTTGTTTTCCATTGATTATTTTGTTTTTCCTTTTCCCGTTTTCTTTTCCCTTTTCCTTTTCCCTTTTCCTTTTTCCTTTTTCCTCTTCCTTTTCCTTTTTCCTTTTCCCTTGTCCTTTGCCTGTTTCCTTTTCCTTTTGTGTTTTTCCTGTTCCTTTTGCCTTTTGCCTTTTCCCTTTTTCCTTTTCCTGTGTTCTTTTCTTTTTTCCCCTTTCCTTTTTGTTTTGACTTTTTTTTTAAATCTTTTCCTTTTTTCTTTTGCTCTTTTCATTTCCTTTTCCTTTTCCTTTTCCCTTTCCCTTTCCCTTTCCCTTCCTTCCTAGCAGCACCGCTTTGAAGCAAGGGAAGCCAAAAAAGCCACAAAAGCCAAAAGCCAAGAGAAGCCACCAAAGGCCAACAAAGAAACAAAAGCCAAAAGCCACCAAAAGCCAAAAGCCAAGAGAAGCCACCAAAGGCCAACAAAGAAACAAAAGCCAAAAGCGAAAAGCCACCAAAAGCCAACAAAGAAACAAAAGCCAAAAGCCACCAAAAACCAAAAGCCACCAGCCAAAACAAAAAAATCCAAAAAGAAAACAAAAGAAATCCAAAAATAAATACCCCTCCCCCTAGTAGCGTTCTTGCTCCTAGTAGCGATGCCCTTTGCTCCTAGTAGCCATGGCCTCCAACCTACTAGCAAAGGATACACATTTTGCTGAACAAGACGTGAAACAAAAAGCAATGCGAATGAGAAAGACATGGCCTCAGTGCGCCGTCCACTTCTTCGAAGCCACACGCAAGAAACAAAAGCCTCCACAACTTGTGTAGAAAAGACCCAATTCGTTTCCTTTTCTATTTAGATTCTCTTTTGAACAAAACAAAGTAAATGACGAATGACGTGCTGGCCCGACATCCTGCCCTTGCCATGAAAGTCGACTTCAAACCCAAATGAGAGAGTCTCTTGCGATTGAAAGTGACCAAGGAAAATTCGCACGTCACAAGAGACAAATCACCATGACACAGCACTGCACCTGCGCCTAGCACTGGAACATCCAAATTAGACTTGGACAAGCCTGACTAGTAACAAGAAGCTACTAGTAGCTAGAATGACACTCTGACTGACTAGCGCATACGTTGTGGTGAGAATCTGACTAGTGCATGGTCTTTGAATTCAGTTTGGCCTCGAGTAGTAGCCCTGGTTCTTGGCGATGATTGGTCTCTTTTTCACCATTTTTGTCATTCGAGGCTTGTCAATAATTTGATATTAATAGCAAGAAGCTACAGAGAACTGCTAAAGTCGTGCCTGTATGTAGGAAATCGTAGCAAATAGCTTGGGGAAAGGGTTTTTCAGAAGTCGTGCCTTTTTGCTCAACGCATTGTAAATGCAATCCCGAAGGGATGAAATCAAACCGGTGGCTGAGTTTTTCGTGTGCAGCTCAAACCACTGTGCCGAAAAGAGCCATTGTGGTCCGTGTTTCAGAAACAGGTTCTGAACAAAGGGATTTTGAAATCCACCTCCGGCCGAAGCGCTTGGCTATCGGCATGGCGTGCAAACCGTGGAAAGCGGTTTGCAAAAGTTGCCAAAAAATAGAATTCAGAGATCGCACGGCTCCAAAAACTGTTGCGTTTTGCTTGGGGGAAGCATGAAAGGCATGAGATAGGCATGACTTTCCTAAAACTGCGTTTACATGCTGGAACACATAGATTTCAGGACGCAGGCGTGAGTTAGGCATGAGTTTCGCGCTTGCCTGTACTAGGAACAAGTGCATCGCTTCTAGTAACAAGTGCCTTACTAGTAGTAACAAGGACGCTGCCGCTACTAGGAACAAGAAGCTACTATTACGATTGGTGTTCATTCCCTGTGCAGGTTTCTCGTCTTGCAGCCTTGCTTTCATTCGAGCCCATTTGGATTTTGACGGGAAACACCTTCCATACACTTTCATATTGCAAGCCTGGGAAAGAACGGAAAAACACGTCCTTTCAAGAAAAAACAACAATAAGAAGCTACCAGGAACAAAGGGAATCGCGACAAACGGAGCAAGGGCATCGCTACGAACGGGGCGCTCCTGACATCGCTACGAAACAACACACGATTTCAGGCAGTGCGGACTGTCAATAGCGCTGCGTTGAGCCAAACCAAACCTTGGAACCGTTGACGTCACATTGGAGTAATTGCAACTAGTAACAAGTGCCACGCTACTAGGAACAAGTGCATCGCTACTAGTAACAAGTGCCTTACTAGTAGTAACAAGAAGCTAGTAATTGATAAACATTTCATGACATTTCAAGGCAGTTTCTTGTTCTGTCCTGGTTCTTGCATGTTTGAGTCACCAAGTGCTTAGACCTGCCACAGATTTCAGCCCCAAAGTGCCTCGAAGACTCAACTTGAGAGGCCTCGTAGTCCTCAACCTGAACACATATTCACCAGTTTACCCCAACGTGCAAGTAAGCAAACTGTACAAGCCTCTTGAAATTGCATATGCCTCTCATGGCCCTAAGATGCTGCGCATGGCACCGGCCAAAAAAATCTTAACTTCAAGGTCTTCCCTCTTCATGTGTACTATAATATGAGCGATTCTGTCAGCATCAAACCGCCTTGTGGCGTCTTCCCTACCAGACCATAATTGCAAATTGTTGGACATTAAGTCAGTGAAACCTTTACCTTCCACACTTGCAATCACTACATGATTCTGGCATTTCGAGGCTGTTTTGTCCCCGAATCACAATGCAAACACAATGTGAATCAGCTTCGCTCTAAGTCAACATCGCTGGATTTGAATAAGCGATGGCCTCCACACTAGGTTGGAGGCCATCGCATCACTTAGGCATTCTCGCGAAGCTTGTTGCCTATGGCCACGGCCCTAGTGCACCTCCGGAACAGCGATTTGCTCGCCACGCTGCGCTGCTTGCAGGAGCTGAAGAACTCCCTTCACCCAAGCCTTTGTAAAGAGTCGCAACAAAAGTTACAAAGACACGCAACGACTTCTTGTGACATGCGCGCATTGGATGAAATGAACGTTTCTTATTGAAGTACACCGTAACTAATTACAAATGAAACCACAACCAGGATCCAGATGTCTCATCTTCAACAGCATGCTAAGCATCTGAAGGGGAGGAAGAACACAACCAAGCAATTGAACCAGACCCGAACTCAACGCTGCACTTGCTATCCAACACAAGCCGCCATGGGCCGTGGCTTCTGGCCACGATTGATCGCAACCGCGTTGTTTCTCTTGAACGCAGGATCTGTTGTTTAAACCCTTGGATGTGGCTGGTTTTTGTCTATTTGTTCGTGGGCTTCAGCTTGTTTTGACCTGTTGCTTGCAGGGGCCCGGAGTTGATTTTATTGACTCTGCGGATTGTTTCAACAATTCCATGACCATGACGCAAGAACCAAATGGGGATGTGGGGTTGGCGTGGTAAAGTCGCGTCAGAGTCAGGTCGAACGGTCTACCTCAAAAAAAATCAATAGCGATGGCCTCTCCAAAACAAGTATGATGCAAGGTCGTTTGCAGTAGTATCGGTGTAGTAACAGCAGAAGTGACACGAACCTGTCGCGACCCACAACGAATGTTGCTCACCAGACTTTCTCCAAAACTCGCAGCTCACTGTACGAAACCAAAAGTGGGACGAGGCTCTGGTCAAAAGCCAAATGAGAACATTCAAAGGAAGGAACGCTCATGTCGCGCAGCAATGTAATACAGACGGCGTAACATCCCAACGGTGCATGAAACGTGCATGCTACTCACCCAAGACGTAGTGCAGTGGTATGCGAGTACTAACAGTTGCAAGGGCGGTGTCGTAACGACAAAAAAACAAAGCTTCTTCCCAAGTGGACAAGAGTGCGGGAGAACATCGAACAAATGAATCGGGTAGAACGGTAGAACTTAGAAAGGACAAGATGACCCTACTAGGGGCTCCTGGCCATACTACTAGGAGCAAGAAGCTACAAGAGTGTATAGATCGCTATCATCTTCAGCAGACTTTTTGGAGTGGTGTAAGCGTAAACTGCCTCGACCCCATTCTTGGTTTGCCAGATCTCTTTCCGTTTAAGATTGTTTGCCTCGTGTATGTACGTCAGAGTCAAAAGTATCTTTTTAAAAATGAGAGCACACACATGGTAAGGCCCCTTCAAGGGAAAAACCATTGCCATTTTCTTCTTTAAAAGAAAAACAATGCCTTGTAACGCCATGTTTCCTCAAATTTCTGAGGTCCAAGGCTTCTCACTCAAACTCTGAGCAAAAAACCTGATGGGATGTTGGAGTAGCTCCATCCTAAGTCAAAATGCGGGCTTGACAGCTGAATAGTTTCAGAATCGTTGGTGGACTTGTCAGAAGTCTGCGAATCATAGGAAGAAAATGAAAAACAACCCAACAGAGATGAAACAGAGAAGGTAATTACAAACAAGGACCCCTTCAATGACGACCCTTTTCAAGGGGGTCTTTCCATTCCTTTCTTCATCCCTGCTTGCTAATATAACCGGCTGAACTTATTTCCAATGCAAAACACCCCTCGCACTTGATCACGACTGTCCAGCCTTTGCTGATTGCAGGATGCCCTGACACTTCACAGTTGGAAACTGTTGTTTTGGCTGACCTCTCCTTAATGGGCGATGGCCTCCAACCTAACAGCGATGCCTTCCAAACATGGCGGGTTCACCCGGATTTGGTCCGTGAAGTCACGTGACGACATCGAGGCATTGGTGCAAGCTGTGCCAGCTGTGAACGTGGAACGCCACAACTTATATCCGTGTCAGACAGCGCAAAGTGCTGAGACCTATGGGTATTTGTTTCTGCTGTTGGCAGGTAGGCGATCGCACAGCTTTTCTTGAGCCACGCGCACACGATTTGGCATCTAGTTATGCCCTGAGGTTCAAACTCAGCTGGGTGACATGTTCACATCATCCAGCTTTCAAGTGTACTTCCGTGCACACTCCCCCTGCCGTGGTTCACGGCATCTCCACAAAAAGAAGAAGTTAGACTTAGTCTTTGATCAACTGAAATCCATCATCGGACCCTGGCTCAGAGGTGCCCTTCGGACTGGCTGCAGGACTGTCGGTTTGCTGGGTGTCCTTCTGCCTATCCTGGAAACCCTTGAGCACCCAGCGTGCCTTACATTTGAGCAAGTTACCGTCCTTATCTTTCTTGATCGTAAGGACCCAGCGACCAGCGACAAAGTTCCCGATCTTCAACTTACGCATATCGCGAAGCTCGAAGACATCATTATCGAACTGCGACTTGCACTCGGCTTGTTTGGCTGCTAGGAACTGTTTAGCAAACTGTCGTTTCTCTTGCTGGGTAGCTTCCCTGCGTTTCTTGCCGACAAGATAAGAGAACTTGTCTTCCTTGGACTGGCAGAAAGATAGGAAGGCCGTGTCTTCATCCGTAATGCTGGAGCAGCTTTCCTTCCTATCGGCGTAATTCTTACGAATGAGCTGACGTTTCTTCTCTGCAATGTATGAAGACGGAACGAAACCTGCGAACCTCCAAGACGTCCAAGGGCCTCTGACTCTGTTCAAGTGTTCAAGAGTTCAAGACCTGGGCCAACACAAGTGGATCGGGCGTGGCCAGGTTGAGCTCCTGCGCACTCTGAATCCACCGCCTCCATTGACGAATCCCTGACAGCACATTCTGCTTATGATGTGGCCTGGCTTCAGGTCAGTGATGCTCTTCAACAAAAAGTGTCCTTTCTGCAGAGCCTGCTGGTTGAAAAATCGTGAAGAGGCGGAAGAGGATGCCCAAGCAACTCACCGTTAATAAAATCTAGAAGCAATCACGTCCTTGCAAATTTGGTCTGGAAGGACGCTAAGAAGGATCGTGACCCCACGATGTTCCACCCTCTCATAGGACGGCTCGATGGGCTTGTCGACCTTCAATCTCAACTTTTCAAGTGGCTTCATCTTCAGCCAGGTGTCATACAAAGCCTCTGCCTCTGTCACCGTCGAATGCCACCATCCTCTCGCACTGGTCGCTCATCAGTGGCATTGCAACCGTCAACCAATCACCGAATGCCAGACTGGCGCCCTCACTTCCCGGCATGGGAAGAGCTGGCAGTTCGAGCTGCCTGAACACTTCATTCACTGGCCAGGAAGAGGATTGTCCCCAGGATGCTCCGGAGTCGGCACCTTGGGCTTCGGTCCTCGTCAATGACCATGCACTCCATTGGACGGCCTAACCTGGTCGTTTCCAGTGCTAGCAACCGATGCAAATGAAGCTGAATCACCACGTGAGATCTTTTGAATTGCAAAAAGCTCTTCTGCTTCCTGCAACACCCTTTCTCTCACGGCCTCTACCTCCTGGTACGTGGGGCTCCGTCGACCACCAGCTGGAGCAGGAGGATCTGTCGCCGGTCGGCCTTCATAATGTGCACCATCTGAACCTTCTCACACCAAAAAAAGGTTCAGCTCCGGAGGTCTCTGGGTCTGAGGAGTTGAACTCAAATAGGGATCCAGGACACGTGGTTGAGGGCCTAAATCACGACGATATGGCCTGCACCCAAACCATGAACAGCACCAAGACGGGGTCCATCCTTGAAATAGCGGAGCTAACAGACCCTGCCCAGGAGGAGGAGGATGGTAAGCTCCATGAAATGCCGGACCAAAAGCTCGCTGAAGAATCTCGATCGACTGACGCACCGATTCTCGCCACCCGTCAGCACCCTGGTTTGGCTGCTGACCCCCCCCAGCTCCTTGATCCAAGTTTCGATCTCCTTGGCCACGGTCTTGCACTGCCGTCGAAGCCAAAGAGCTCGCCTGAACTCCTTGCCGGGGATTGGCTGCCAGCCGCCGCACTGCTGCTGCTGCTGCTGCTGCACCAGGAGGCGTTGATGCTGCTCTTGCCGCCTTGGATTCTTCAAGTAGTGCATCCAGGCGTTCATCTGCAGCGCCCAGCCGCAAGTTGCCTGGCCGATCCTCAGGATCTCTGATCCTCTCAGCTCTCTCCCTCGATCCACGACGCCGGCGCTGTGCAAAGCCGCTCATCGGGACAACCCCAAAAAAGGGGGTGGACTTGAGAACCCTCAACGCCTTGGGCTCATCGCACAGCTTTTCTTGAGCCACGCACACACGATTTGGCATCTAGTTATGCCCTGAGGTTCAAACTCAGCTGGTTAACATGTTCACATCATCAAGCTTTCATCAAGGAAGGAAGTGTACTTCCATGCACAGTTTCAAGAAAGTCAGTGTCATTTTGTTGCTATCTGTTACTCTGCTTTGTGGAAAACAAGACATCCGAACACCTCCGAAACATCTCATGTTGTTTCTTCATTTTATGTTGTTCTCTTAGCCCCCAAGAGCTCAAAAGCCTCAAACAAATGTGAGAAACGAGGAAGCCTCGTGACACGAGATGTGGAGATGTGCGGAAGAATGAACATGAAAGAAATTGAAAGAGGAATCTCAGGGCGCAGCCTGTTTTGCTTAAGCCAAAGAAGCTCAATTAGCCAAAGTAGCAACAATGCTTGAACGCTTTACCTGATCTTGCCAGAGGACTCCAGACCCAAAGGGCGGATTGATAGCTTCAACTTGGGAGGCTTTCATGCTTTAAGCATCTTCCGTTTAATCAAGTGCTTGACGCAGTGCCTGTGGGCCATGTTCGTTTGTTGTGAACTCCCCTAAACCCAGCCAACCTGGTGGTCCAACGAACCACTTGAGCACAGTGACACAGACTTCGATTTCAAAACAAAGTGCGACAACCTAAATAGCGATGGCCTGCAACCTAATGGCGGCTAATAGCATCTTGAGCTCCTAATAGCCATGGCCTCCGATTAGTTTCAGACCGGAAAAGGACTGGACAAAATCAATGAGTTCAGCTGACTCAGCCTTAGGCAAGCCTTTTTCTTCTCCGCGCAAGATGTGTATGCCCGTGTAAGAGAACTGGGCAAGCCGCGCAACAAGTACCAGCCAGCTGGCTGCGCAACATCGGAACAGTGTGGATGTATATTTTATAATATCCTAAGAGCTTCTTGCTACTAGTAGTAAGGCACTTGTTACTAGTAGCGATGCACTTGTTACTAATAGCTTCTTGCTACTACTAGTAAGGCACTTATATAATGTATATCCTAATAGCTTCTTGCTACTAGTAGTAATGCCAAGAGCTACCAGTAGCTTCTTGTTACTATATCATCGCTGCCATCGCTAACATTATATACTTCAACCAAAACTTACAATCTCGGCTTTGATGGCTTGTGAGGTTGACTATAACTTCGGCCATTCGACTATTTATTTCGAGCATGCAAAACATATCCATTTCCAAACGTGTTTCCAAACGTACAAATCTTCGAGGGCTTCTACGTCACCCAAACAAGAATGCCTTCTTTACACTTTGAGGTGAGCATCCACATTCAGTGACCTGCCATTTGGGGTCGTGTTCAACTCAAGGAACCAAACGAACCACACCAACTCAACCCAAACGGACAAATAAAACCAAAACAACTGACCAACCACAACAGAGTAGTGCCAGTTTGTGTTCCACCTCGGGAGAAACTTGGATAGGCTCTCTCGATTGAGCCCAAATTTGAGCTCAAATTTAAGCCAGTGCACCTCCTGAAGAGAATTCTCGAAGAGAATTTCTCCAAAAAGAGTTTCAGGAGATTGACACTTTATTGGTCCAAATTTCTCGAGAATCACCCAAAGTCTGTGACTCAGAGAACTTGGATGTTGAAAAAAAGATAAAAGTCTGTCGCAAAAACATTGTCCAAAGAGACTCAAACTGATTGCGGCTGAACTAGGAACAAGAACGCTACTAGGAGCAAAGGGCATCGCTACTAGGAGCGATCGGACGCTACTAGTAGCTCCAGTTGTGATGGTTGCAGTCTGTTTGTTTCTCTTGGACCCTGGCCATCCGACGTGGACGGCCAAAAATCTTTCGTCGTTTGAGATCAATGGAAAATAGGTTCAATCTCAAAACGCCGAACTCGGTATGCAAACGACTTGACAAAGTCGTTACCCGTCGAATTCTTCAGTCGACTTTGTCAACCTATTAATAAATGATCAGGAATGTATGGCAAAGCTATGCGACAAATGTCTCCACCTTATCCAACGGAAACGCTCAGGGGTTCAGAAGCCAAAAACGTCAAAACAGCGGCCGAGGAGAACACGATCTCTTCACTTCTTCATGTGGATCATGATCTCAAGTCATGCGAAGCACAACAGGTTTAATGGAGGCCATCGCTAGCAGGTTGGCCATCGCTACTAGGGTGGAAGCACAGCAGGTTGAATCAAGTTCTCAAATCCCAAGGACACGGCGTTTGCCCGCAGATTCTGGGACAAATTCTCGAACACATCCATGATCCTACAGCATTCCATTTATCAAAACCACACCTTGATGCATGGAACTGGAAGCACAGTTTCAGTATACATCCAGTATGTTTTGTGTTGTTACACGCCTCCTTGCTGTTTCCAACCAGGAACGCGCAAAACGGGCAGGAAGCAGGAAAGGAACAACCATAGAAAGCAAACACGTCTGTTTTGAGCATGAAAAAGGAAAAGAAGAGGAAAAAGGACGCTACTAGGGGCAAGAAGCTCCTGGCATCGCTACTAGGAGCAAGGACGCGTCTAGGAAGAAGTCTGAGCGGTGCCCTTTGTTCCTAGTAGCGTCCTTGTTCCTAGTAGTAAGGCCAGGAGCCCCTAGTAGCGTTCTTGTTACTACTAGTAAGGCCCTTTGTTCCTAGTAGCTTTTTGTTACTACTAGTAAGGCACTTGTTCCTAGTAGCTCCTTGTTCCTAGCAACTCATCGGCTGCGCCAGTCCTCTGGAACCATGCCTCAACATTCGCGGCTGCAGAGGTGTGTTCAGCTTGTTCTTTTCGCCTGAGAAACACTTTTCGGAACCCACAGAAAAGGAAAATACAATAAATAGAAAAAACACCAAAAAATAACAAATATGTTTGATATGTTTGATCATGTTTGTCAACTTTCATTTTGATATATCACTTGTTTCTTCACCTGCCTTGCTTCTTCTTCCCTCTTGGCTTTGAATTGTCTTGCATCATCAAACGGATCATTCGGAGGATTGTTGAGCATTCCCTGAAAGCAGGGCTGTCGGCAAAATCTTTCGAACACAAAGCTGGTGACATGTGTGACCAAGGATGACGTAGTAGGCGCCATTTGAATCCCCAGTGATGAAATCAATCGAAAGGATATTCTGTTCAAAACCCATGTTCTTTTGGTGCCAAAATTTGTGACAAGAAATGCCATATTTAATATAGTAAACTGGTTTTGTGCCTTGCTCAAAGGAATGTCTCCAGGGTACAGACTGGAAACCGATGAAAGCAGTGGAACACGATGACACAGAAAAAAACATGTATGATAGACAGTCGCGGCGTTTCGCGCTATCTATCGGACATCAAATCGGTTGGCATTAGTTGGGTTGGAGGCGTGGCTATTGGCGTATAGGCCATCGCTACTAGGGTGGAGGCCATCGCTATTAATTAGGTTGGAGGC